CGCCATGAAACTCTCGCCAGTAGATCGCCAGATGAAGAAGATGCCTCAGTGCGCTCAAACCTCACTGTTCCAATTCCAATCCCAGCTCCGATACCAACTATTATGAACTTGGTTGTCTGACGATTTTTACCGCCACTCACACACAGACAATCTCATACACGCCTATACATGCATAAGAGAAGGGAGAGAGGAGACAGAGTCCACCCTGCACACAGATCAGAGTAGGCAGCGGAATACAACTATGCACAGATGGGGAGAAGACACACAGTGTTTCTCTCTCTCTGACAAACTCCCAACAACCAATCACAATTAGTGCCTGCGAGGATAACAATTGAAATGACACGGATGATGAGCCAACTCAAACAATTATCGTAACAGAGTTTGTTCCAGTGCCTCCGCACTCTCAGAACTCACGCCCCACTCTCTATCCTACACCCAATTAGTAGCGCCACATCAGAATGGCCTCCCAGAGGCCAGCGCCAACCACCCTGATGAAGAACAGGTCCTGCGATGAAGTCTTCAGTGCCGGTGGACAACTCTGACGAAGGAAYAGGCAGCTATGGCTGCCACCACCCACGAGTACACAGTGTAGAGCCTCGATGTASYCCRRCCATACGCAGATACCCCAGGGGTAGATRYGCTGAGGATGCCCCAGCWATGGCAGACTCAGACTGGGCCGGCTATGGTTGCTKTCAACGGCGAGGTCTCAGGATGCCGCCTGCAGACAGTCACCGCCACCAACTTGCTTGGCTTCTCCAACGCTGCTTCGYGAGAAATGAACTGCCAAAAGTCCTGAACCAATGGGCSTAACYTATCTATAGACTAYGCTAGACCTAGACCGGACTGACTGACCGACCGGTACCGTTTCTGTTTCGGCCTTTCGGCCTCTACCGGACCCGGCTATAGGCTATAGGACCGTCTATCAGCATAGGCCGCTTARGGCCTGTCTGTCCTAGGGGTAGCCCGGGCCTGCTATACGCAGTTAGGGTAGCTGTAGGAATTCGGGTTAGTACCGGGCCTATATTTTCCCAGATTTGCAGATATGTCCCTCACGAATTTCCCTACAGGCAGGTCTCTCGGTTAGCCCTCAGCCAAACAAAATTACGAATCTAACCCTAACGGTTAGTGTACAGCCTCGCAGTCAATCTCGGCAGTAGAAATCAGCAAGTCATTGCAGCGAGATTGTAACCMCCCCCGCCCCACCCACCCACCCACCCATCGACATAAACTATGATAGGGACACTCACTTCTGTACTTGGGGGCTATGACAGACGTTTCTTTGTGCATTAGGCTACAACAGCAACTGATGCTATACTCGGGAAAGCATCTCAAGGGTCAACCACAAGAAGCGAACGCCCGACCTCCCTCTTGGGAGGCAACCAACAAAAGGGAGAGAGACGTAGCGATGGTGGATGGCGGAAGGCGGGAGAAAGGCCGAAGGTGGGATGGTGGGAAGCGGCAGAAGAAGTCGGGAGGGGAGAGAGAGAGAGAGAGAGAGAGAGAGAGAGAGAACAAAATCAAATGAATCAACCGCTAGAACATGAAAATATACATTGCGAACATGCGCACAGCACACCAGATTTGCGCAGCGCGCACTGCGCACCCAGATGCGCGGCGCGCGCCGGTGCACGCGCACCCTGGGTCCGCGCACAGCGCACAGTGCCGGTGTGCCGCAAGTATGGTATATATGTCCGGATTAAAACAAAAAAAAAAAAAAAAAACTTTGTGCAATTGGCACCCGAAAAGCCCTAGGGTGCATGGGGGATGGGAGAAGTAGGGGAGTGGGAAACGTTTTGAAATCTCACTGAACATACCTTGTGAAAGAACATAGGTTTACTCTGCAAAGAAAGTCAAATGTCGAAAACACCACATGAATTGCAAACAGCTCAACAAACACCAGATTGGCATGAAGTTAAAGTCCGCATAACCTTTTATAAAACAGTTTGAACTTCGAACTTTGAGGTGTGAAGACTACAGTCTTCCCCCGAATACAACGTACGGTCATTATAGCTGAATTTAGACTGAAAGATACACCAAATTCAGCTATAATGACCGATCGTTGTATTCGGGGGAAGACTAGGAAGTTTGAACTTCGGGCGATGTGCTGTGCTCCTCACACTGCGCTTGCTGCGGCTCTTGCTAGCCGTGCTGTGCCTGCTCCACGTCTGTCCTTGCCTGCTGTGCTCGCCTCCTTGCCCTGCTTCTTCCTTCCTCGGGCGATGGCGGCAGTACCGGGTGTGCATACGTTTGAAAACTTTGAATGTCGTACCGGGAGGGGGGGGGCCAAAGTCACCAACGAAGGACTTCAAAATTGAAGCCCGCTTTCACTTCCGGGCCGCCAAAACAGAGAAAGCCCATTCAAATGGGCAGAAGAACAAAAAGGGAAAAAAAAAAAGACAATCAGAAGAGGAAAGTTCCGGCCCCTACCGGATCTCGCTCGGAGGCCTTTAAAAGGGCCCTTACCCGATTCAGACCCTGTTTCACGGATGCAGCATAGTGGGGTCACTCGCCCAGGGCCCAACTCGTGCAAGCAGAATCAACGGACATGTTCTCTGAGTCAAAAGTCACATCCTAGCTAAGTAGAAGCTAATATCAAAGGTCACAGCTGTGCCCCTGGACGAACAGTTGCAATATTGAGATATAGGAGTCATGTCTGTTCATCCAGGGGGTGTGCAAGTCATGTCTGTTCATGCAGGAGATGTGTCTGTACGTGCAGTATGAGTGTCTGTTCGTACAGGATGTGTGTCTGTTCGGGCTGTAGATGTGCCTTTTCAAACAGAAGTCAAAAGATTCAGTCCCAGTCACGGATTAAGTCAGAAGAAGAGTCTAGATACAGGTCCCAAGTCCGAAAATCAGGCCTGAAGGCCGCCGCAGCAGCAGACCTTGAGGGAAAGGTACTGGGACACACTCTACACAGCCTGGGACAGGGGGAAGAGTCCCAAGGAAGGCTGATTCAGGGCTCGCAAGGCCAAAGCATTAGTATAAAGAACAGACCAGCCTCCCTACTCGGCAGATCTTCACTGGCATTGATGCGTGGAAGTGCCGTGGCACTTGTGCGCTAGCATGCAGGAAGAGGGCGCTGGCTAGATGCTGCGCAAGAGAGAGAGTGCTGGACGCTGGCTTGCTGAGCAGCCATAGCTGCTCCAGCCTGTGTTAGTAGTAGAAGGGTTAGTGTTAGTAGACATCAGTGAGTAGTATTCAGAGTAGATCCTCGTGTGTTAGGGAGTATGCATGCATGATGTGAAGGAGAGGGAAGACCAGGACTATGACATTGAGAGAGAGAGAGAGAGGGAAGACATACAGGGGGAGCAAGGGCTATGTGGATACTTACCTTCTGTGCGCCGATTCTGTAGAAGGAAGAAGACTTGTGATCCTGTTACGGCGCTGTACACTCTGAACTTGTGACAATCTCTCCTAATCTTGTTGTTATAATCGAGCTGAGTTCCTTGGTCTCGTTCATCTCTCATTGGAGCTTTGTGTGAGATATTGCGATTCTGTAAAGTGTGTGTGAATGCATGATAACTGGCGCACTCCAGCAAGTGTTGAACAGTTGGGTTCCTTGCACCTTAAAAAACGGGCCCTTATTTTTGCTGGGCGGCCCAGGGCATGAGGAAACGGGCCCTTATTTTTGGAATCTGGACCGGGATCCGGACCGGTTCACCGGACACCAGACTCCGGACGGGCCGGATCCCGGTCCGGTAGTCCGGATCGCTATCGTCACAATATATATATATATATATTACAGCCCCTTGTTTGTTGTCCTCTTCTCCCTCTCTGCCTACGGTTTACCGGGCAGTTCTATTTGACGATATATATATATATATATTTGACGATATATATATATATATATATATATTACAGCCCCTCGTTTGTTGTCCTCTTCTCTCTCTCTGCCTACGGTTTACCGGGCAGTTCTGTTTGTGACGATATATATATATATATCGTCACAATATATATATATATATATTCTGCAGACTGTTAGGGTTCAGCCTCCTGATGAGTCGGTGAAACTCCGACGAAACAGTTTGTCACAGCCCCTCGTTTGTTGTCCTCTTCTCCCTCTCTGCCTACGGTTTACCGGGCAGTTCTATTTGACGATATATATATATATATATATCGTCACAAATATATATATCGTCATATATATATTGTCACATCACTACAAACTAAAAGAGCGCACTTTGCGGAACAAAGAATAAAAGCAAAAAACGGGCACAGTGATAACATGCAAAATATATCCAGTCTCTACCAGGCCTCTATACCTAGTCTCTACCAGGCCTCACACCCCCAACTGGTAGGTAACCGAGTGGGGCAACCCACTGCAGAACGATCCCCCACCTGTTGGGCTACAGGGTGAAGCGACTCACCCCCGCTTTGACCAACGCCGTATGAGTACCAGCTTGCCAACAGAGACTGGAGTGCCTTCCACCCTCAACAACTCCCCAGATCTCTCTACCAGGCGTCGTGCCCCGGTACAGCTCAGGTTCCAGGGCAGTGCAACCACGCCCCAGCACCTACCACCGCCGTTCTGGCCCCGGTTTCCGGCTCGTGCTGCTCCCCACGAATAGATTGGAGCATTGGTTCCAAAGAAGAAGAGAACAAAAAAAAAAAAAAAAAAAAAAAAAAAAAAAGGCTGTCCCTCACCGTCGACAGACTGGAAGAAAGTAAGGGACACAGTATACAAAGTTCGTGCTTAAACCACCAGTACCCCCGAGGCAGCCTTCCCAAACCTTTTTTTTTTCCGACAGCATTGCACACTGGCAACAATAACAATGCTGTCAGAAACATAAAAAAAAAAAAAAAAATTCACCACGACGAGGAGGCGGAGGAGAACAATAAATGTATTTCGGGGACATCCGTTAGAACTGGAACGCTACAGAGAAGATAAGCATGGCCCCTGCGCTAAGGGGGAAAAAAAATAAAATAAAAAATTCACCATGACGAGGAGGAGGAGGAGGAGGAGAAGGAGAAGCAAGTCTGAGTTTTCTTCGTCTTCTTACCTCCAAGTCTGTCGCACCATCTCCAACCATCACTACCGTCTTGTAGCCATGCGTCTGATTGTACGGGGGGAAAACGTTTTCACAAAAACAGAAAAACGACGAAGAAAAACGACAAAGATATATCAGATTCCCTGAAGTTGTGAACCACCTCCGATATCAAATCCATGGGAAGACCAATGAGCCTAGCTCAGCTGGTACACCCATGACATGTTGAAATACAGACCCAAGTTCGAATCCAGATGAATGTTGAGCACACTAAGCAGCCTACATACAACATAAAATAATATTAAATTACCTGCAAATTTGCAAAAGTAAAAAAAAAAAAAAAAAAAAAAAAAAAAATCCATCAGAAGGCCAGTGGCGCAAGTGTGGAAGACTGTGAGTGAAGGGTATGAGGAGGGCACCCCACTGTTTCTCTTCCCCCCCCCCCCCGGATCGTGCAGCTTACTCGTGCTTTAGGGTTTGAGGCCCCGCTGCACGCCCACGGCCTCAGACCAGCACCCTCAGGAACCAAGTCTCTTAACCGCTACAGCCCTGATGCGGTGTTCAAAATTGGAATCGTACCGGTCATGATATCCACCCCACCCCTGCAGGGCTGTAGTGTCCAGCGCGCACACACACACACACACACACACACACACACACACACACACACACACCCCACTGCGGTGTATTTATGATTTGTGGTGGCGTTGTAGGCCGTCGCAGAGGGCCCTGAAAAGTGTTTTGTAGACCATTGGTATGTGTGGTCGGTGCTTTTTTGTGTTATTGGAGCCTTTTGTGTTAGGCTGTTTTTTGAGGTTCTGTGGGCCGATGTGGAGGGCTCTCCAAGTTTTTTTGGACCTATGGCGGATGGGGTCGGTGCTGTCGTGCTGGTGGGAGTCCTCTTGTCTTAGGTAAGTTGCTTCTTGCCCTCCACCCTTTTATGGATCATATAAATATATGTATAATAGTATATATTGTCAAACAGAGCTTCCCGGTAAACTGTAGGCAGAGAGGAAGAAGAGGACAACAATGGAGCGGCTGTGACAAACTGTTTCGTCGGAGTTTCACCGACTCGTCAGGAGGCTGAACCCTATCTATATGTGCAAATGTGCTGCCGCTTCCGCGGCAGACGGGTGTGTGTGTGGGCACTTGGCGCTGAACCACACAACCTCACATTTTCTATTATATTGTCCATCTAATACTTTTTCGTTATGGATGGTTTGTTATGATCTGTGGAGGGAATGAGATGGGACGTTGGACCCGTTTTCCAGCAAGTGATGCTCCCCACTAATAGATGGAGCCTCTCCCCAGGTGGTAGTGGTGTCTGCGCTTATCAGCACCACTATCACCGGTGGGGGTGTTTCCAAAAAGAAAAAAAAAAAAGAAAAAAAAAAAAAGAAGAGAGAGAAGAGAATTTGGGGKGCTTTAAACCGCCAGTACACGGCCCCAGCCTTGCTGAAATGAAAACCACCAGTATTTGCCCTGTTTCGGGAACTGCTAAAGTTGGCTATTCAATCGAGCGGCCTAGCTCACTTGGTAAGGCATGCAAGTGGCATTCAGGAGGTCTTGGGTTCAATCCCCATTGGCCTCATGTACCTTCCTGGGCATGCTTGGCGCCCGCCACCTAGAGATAG